CCGCTTCTTCCTGCCAGCCTACATTGTACCTTCCTCTTACATTTGCTTCAATTCGATCCTTTCATTGAGAACTCTTCAACGGATAAAAGAAACACTTTACAAGAGGAGATTGGCGACTTCCGTCTTTACGTCCGATCGAAGTCGCATCACTTTCTTTTCTCTTATTTACGAGTTCTCTTAAAATTTGTAAAAAAATTGCTGTATTTCCGGTTGATTAATCCTGCTTGTTTATCCCGGAGTAGGCGGACGCGGAAGCAGCGGACGGCAGTAGTTTCGTCGCGAAAACTTTTTTCACGGTTCCGTAAGAAAAAGTCCCACGCCGAAGTCCGCGCGTCCCCGCCGACTGTGTCTGTTTCATGTTTTTCAATATTTGTAATTTATCGATAAAATTATAAAAGATATCGATACATAACAATCTAAAGTGTGCGCTACTCTACATAATAATATTATATATAAAAAGTATAAAAGTATACATTATATATATATTATATATATATACATATATATTATATATGAAAAGTATAATATATATATATTATACATACATTGGGATTGGTGAGAATATACGGTTTTTTCGCTTTGGAGTGTTATTTTCTGAAAATATTGAACAAAATATGGAAAAAAAATTAATAAAACCAATGAGTAAAAACAAAACAAATGTGATTTTTTTTATTCTCACCCGATGTACGACACATCGTCGGCGACAGGCAATTCTCTGTTGGATTTTGCGATTACATTCATATCGCGTGAGCGCACAAGTGTGAATATCTGATGCAAATAACTTTATATGACGCGTAATATTTTGCTTTCAATTCATAATACATGAAATCGTCCGATATATTAGATTCTGAAAATAATTCAGAATTCGAAGGAGAACACAATGAATTCGTTCACAAGGAGAATGAGGTTGGTTAATATATAATACTTTTAATAATTAATATTACTTCAAATGTTCAATTTTAATAAATAATGGATTTAAATAATGTCTTATTAACTTCTTAAAATTAATATATGAACAAATTTAAATTGCTAATTTTAATATGTAACTGATCTGTAATTATTTTTAATTTATACGTATTGAACATTTTAATTATTAATGACAATGTTACTATAATAATTTTGTTTTTCCATTCGATATTTATTGAAAAAATACAGATATTCGAAAAAATTATATATATGCCGACTCTTCCGAGCACTTTTAATAGTCTCGTTAAGAAGACAGTGAAGCTTGAAACGGATGAACCTCGATGTGTTATCGAGTCGGTAAAATTTTAGATACAAAAATTATTTAAATTTTATAAAATCTGAAATTGTGAGATATTGAATATTTAATCTGTACAGATTGCTAGGCGATCTTTTAGGAGTTAAAAATTACGAAATTAACAAAGCTGCTTTCTGGTTTTTGGATATAGTAGCTCTTCAAGTTTTACGTTACAAAAATTGCCTAGATGATCATTATAGAAGTATATTAATTAGCTGGTTGGCTGGCGAAATGAAATTAATTCGAGGTGATTTTATCAATTCATGTCAAATAAAATACTTTTTACAGAGAGAATATTTAGAAAGAGATATAATATTCTTACATAAACATAAATTAAAATGAAGATTTTAGTATTTGAACCTATATATAATTAAATAACAGAATTTCGATACAATGGCATAATAATAATTAGTGAAATTATATCTTTTAGAGACACAGAATATTTTTACAGATAAACAACTACTTCGCGAAAATTTTTTTAAGGAAATGAGAATATTATTTCTCTATGTTGCTAAAAAATTATCTGATGGCGATCCATTGCCGCATTGGGAGTTACTCATGGATGCATATTCTGAAATTATGGCACAAAATTCTACTTCTGATTGGTCTACCGACAAAATGGAATATTTAAGTACAAATAAATCATCAGAAAAGGAATTAATGGCAGAAGATGAATATGCTTTCCAAGAAAACAAACTTATTTTTGTTGGAAAAGACTTGAAAAATCATAATAATGGAAATAGGTAAATCGAAGAAAGCATAATTTATTATTACTGTGAGTCACACAACAATACATTATTTTATTATGCGTATGGTTTTTTAAAACTACATCAAATAAAGATTCTTATTTCAGTGTTACAAACAATCTGGAAGAGGAATCGCCGAAAAACTTCAAGACTATGTTAACTACAGAGAATTCGCGAACAGATACAATCACAAATGAAAACACAGTTCAATCTTCTAATTTAATGAATCCAAGCGACATTCTGGATGTAATTGTTGAAGCGACATACAACATGTACGTATAAAAACATACGATATATTATTTTGAATATTTTTTAACATTTCGAAGAAAAATAATATGCATAATATAAGAGTTATCGTCGCATCTTATTTTTTTAAACAGGTATGCTAATGAATTACGATATGCCCTTATATATGCAGCTTTTGTAAAACCAATACAGATGCAAATGTTTCTTATGCCCCATGCTTATCAAATACAACGTCAAATTAAACTTGCGCTTTCTGGAAAATCATTTGACGTACAGCTTCGTGAACGATTAGAAGAGGTTGCTCGTGAATCAATAATTAACAATGGTACAAAATTAAAATAGAAATAGTATAATAAAATAATTATAGATTTAATTATTCATACATGTATTCAATATAATGCAGTACTATATTTATCTCTATTAATGTTTATATAATGTTTATATAATGTTTATATAATCGTATCTATATTGTCTATTTTTTATACTTTATTATAATTATAAGAATGTATTTATTTTTTATTTTATCATATGGTCATGTAATGATTTGTCCACAGTGATAATTGAAAATTAATAATTTTTTGTTTTCAGAAAATAAAATAACTGATGACATGAGAAAAGATCAAATGATCGAAGATTTCAAGATTCCTCCAACACCACCGCCTTCATTAAATGAAGAAGAAATATTAGCTAATAATTGTCGATTTATTCTACCATTGATAGAAGCGAACGAAGCGATACAGATCTTCGAAATGCATACAAGGAGTATGTAATATAATAAATATGAATATAAGATTGAAGAATATATTATTTCGTCTAACAATTTAAAGTACAATGTTATTCTGTGATTATCGCCGTGCCCCATTCATGACACTTGAATTTTTTCACTGTTTCAGAATTTAGTGAAAAATAAATGTCCAATTTGACAAAATTATATGGATTTTCCAAATTTCGTTGAAGTTTTCCTAGTTGACCGTACTTATTAGTGCCGCAGCCCCAAAAAAAGCCATCATCTGAAAAAACGAAGATTATTTTTCTTCTATAAAATATAATGTTTATTTTTTTATTAAGACTACTGAATCTATGAAAAGAAGATTCATTTTACCTGTTAAGCATATAGTAAATGAATTTCCACACTCGACTTTTTTAACATTGATTTCTATATTCTCTTCTCTGTCATTTTTAAAATCTACTAAAGTTGGAACGGCGTAAACTTTTTTGTCTTTATTTTCAATTCCTAATTCTCCATTTGAATTCCATCCCCAAGTATAAAGATCACCCTGTTATGTTAAGTTTCATTTACAAATCATATAATGATAGATGTAATTTACTAATTTTTATGTACTGACCTGGTCAGTGACTACGGCGGTATGCCAACCACCTGCTGATATTTGTACAACTTTGAGACCTGCTAGAGCTTCAATAAGCTTTGGATTATCACAATTTTCTAACTCATTGTGCCCTAATTGGCCACGTCTATCATGTAAATTATAATAATTATACGACATAAAAATTTCCTAAGAATAATTTCGTGTTTCTCTAATATTACATACATTCCCATCCCCATTGAGTATACATCGCCATTCTCTGCTAGTAAAATAGTATGATCAAAACCACAGGCAAGATCAACAAATTTGATTCTCTTTGGTATCTCAACCAAAAGTGGAGCATTAAATACGCGTCCTTAGAAAATAAAATATTTTTTGTAAAATTATATTTAATAACAGTGTAATGCTTAAGCTGAGAATTTTTTATTGCACACCTAAATTGGTTAAAATTACTGTACACCCTGCTTGTGATAGTTTAATAACGTATTCAACTTGTATGTTGTCATTGTTAGGAATAAAAGGTGTTACTTTTTGCCAAGTATCATCATATATTTTATATTTCCAGATTTCATTGCGTGTGGACAAAACAATTACACTATCCCTACCAGGAATAGCCAATTTACAACTAAAAGAAGTCATATTTTAATAAGGTAAAAAGTAAAATAAAATTTTTAGTAAAGAAAAAAATATCGTATTTTGTCTATTGCCTTCCTGATGATTCTTCTGGAATTTGCATTAAACGTGGCCTGTTTTTTTCATCTTCTTCACTAATTTTACCAGTGATATATAATTTCGTATTTTGCCACAGAAGAAAATAATTCCAACCAATCTCAATGTCTGTGATTTCAGGAAATGGAATCTGAGTCAAATGCGATATTGATGTGACAATCCCATCCTGATTGGAAAAGAGTGGACTGGCATTTAAGCCAGTATAATATACCGGCATGTCTCTGTAAATAATAAAAATACAATAGAGTAATATAACTATAAGAGTAATTTAATTATTTCCATTATTTCATTATTATAAATACTTTATTAACAGTTTTTTTTTATTATTACGAGAATTCCATAATTATTCTGTTAAATTTAAATGATTCATAAAATTATCTAAATTATATTTGATATTTCAATAATAAGTGATCTCATTATTCAGGCATGATTTAAAAAATTAAGATATTTTTCATAGAAAAAAAAAATTAAATTATTTAAATAAAATATGTAGATAAAACAGAAATGTATTTATTTATCTACTGTCGTTCACAGAAGCAATACGAAAAGATATCAGCGCACGTGGTAACCGAACTGTAATTTCTCATCTAACGGTATCAGTGCACTGATCAGCTCATAACATCAGTCATATGCAGATGTCACCATTTTCCTTGGATACCAGGAAACCAACACAACATTTTCATATAACGTAATGGAAATCGCCGAAATAACGCAGTAGATCGTTAACGCATCTTCGTCCTAGAACCTGAAATATATATCATCAAGAAGATGGTAAAAATCACGTGAATTAAATGCAAATGCACAATATTATGCACTCTTTTTTTTCCCCGCCATCACCCGATACACTTTTAAATGCATGAAGTAATCGAAACATAACCTGCGAAAATTTTATTGCAGTATATTAAGTTTATATTACACGCTTTAAGTTTCTATTAACAAGTTCTACATAAAAAATTAAGAATTGTAAAACATCTCATTAAATAAAGTAAATAGTTTTTAATCAGTTTTTATTGTATACAAAAATTCACTTTCTGTGCACTATGTTCCTCTCTCCGTATATATACACTCGAGATGACGTTGCGAATGCGGGCTGGTTATATCCTCGTCGTCATAACTTGCATACATTCGACTAGGAGAAGGGAATTATCTTCTTAAAATTGTACATTCTGTTTGCGAACGAAATTCAACATATTTCTATATCTATTTAACTTTTCATATACAATATTGTAATCAATTACAAATTATTGACATATACACGATGTAATTGCAAGTTTTTGCAAAGTCATTAATTTCTATTAATAACTGCAATAACAAAATAAAATAAATTATAAACAAAATAATATAAATTATAAACTTGAATAATTTGATAAAAAAAACAAAGTTATTTAGTTTCTGAAATAAATTTCAAATTAAAATTTCTAAATTTTTACTAAAATTACA